CCGGCAGCGGCCGGGGGGCGGCGGCGTCCTCTCGCCGCCGCCGCAAGCCGATCTCCGCTCCGCCGTCGAGCCCCGGCTTCGGCTGGACTCCGGGCAGCGCCGGCGGCAGCAGCAGCAGCAGCGCGCCCAGCAGCAGGGGCAGCCGCGCTCGTCCCATGCTGCCCTGCGGAGGGAGGTGCGCTCAGTCGGGCCCCACGCGCAGACCCGTCGCCCCGACGGCCGGCCCGGCTCGAGGCCCGAAGCGCTCGCGGGAGGCTTCCCCGGGCCCCGGGGCTGCGGGGCGCCTCGGGCGGGCCGCGCAGGGACCCCGCCGCCGGCCTCGGCACCTGCGGCGGCGCCGGGGGTGGAGAGGGAGGGAGGGAGGCGATCACTCACCGGCGCGACCGACCGTCCTTGCCAGCCGAGGAGGATGCGCGGAGCCGCCGCAGGGGCCCTTAAGTACGGCAGGCGGGAGCTCCGCTGACGTCAGCGCGGGGCATGGACTGATTGCCGATGGGGACGCGGCGGCGACCCTCCGGGGACGCGGCGGGCATCTGGGCGAGGGAGGGATGGGTGCGCCCCGCTCCACCCCCCACCCCGCGCGGGATTCCGGCAGCTTGCGGCGCTCCCGGGGCTCCTCGGGCGCCCCCGCATCGCTTCCCAGGACACCTGCTGACGGCTCCGGGGCGCCCGAACCCGCCACCCGCCCCGCTCGTCCGGGCGGTCCGCCGGAGCCAGCGGCGCGCTCCGCACTTCTGTCCGAGGTGCTGAGGCGAGCGGGGCGCGGAGCCTGGCCAGGAGAGCCGGGGCTGGGACAGGCAGGCGCGGGAACGAGCGGGCTGCCTTCAAGGATGGTTCGCGGCTGGCTCAAGGATCTGGGAGGGCACGGGGGACCAGCCGAGCCCGCAGAGGAGGGCCGGCCATGGGCTCCCTCCGTGGCTCCGGATCTCCCAAGGAGAGTGAGAGCCTCCCAGCCAGGAGGTCGTGGAGGGAGCCTGAGCCAGTGGGGATGGCTGGGAAGGGCGGCTGGCATGTCTGGTGGGTGCGAGTGCAGGGCCCACGGGCTTGGGCTAGGAGGCGCACGTGGCTGTGGCCAGGCAGGGCGTCAGGACACCCAGAGGGGCCAAGCTGCCACGAACCCTCAGAGAGAGCGAGCTCTGGCGCAAGAGCAGCTCCTCTCCCGCCGACCTGCTGCGGACGCACCGCTCTCAGCCCACCCCCCCAGGCAGGGTCTTGCACAACTGGAGGGTCCAGAAAGGGGCAGCGGGTACGATCACGGCAAAGCAAGGCCACGGCAGCCGGTGTTGCGGGCGAGACGGAGGCGCACGGAATCAGGTCTGGCGTGAGGAACGCACGAAGACGCGCCTCCCCCTCTTCACTGGCAGGGCGAGCATCTTCACCCGTGACCCAAGCAGTGGTGCACAGATCCACCCCCCCGCGACCTGGAGGTTCCACCCCTACTTGATACACTGCCCATGACTGCTACCGACTCCGCACGGACTGCCAAACCCCCCGCAAGCCGGCTCCCCCGACGCACATGGGACTGCGATGCCCTGAGCCCCCAGACGTCCCGCGGCGCGTATCCCTTCGCCGCCCCGGCCAGGTCGAGTCAAGCACATGGCTTTCCCACAAGGCCGCAGCCCTGGCGTGGCGACGCGGCAGCTTCAAGGGCTCCCCCGGAGGTGAGTCCTCTTCCTTCCCGTCACGCCGGCAGCCAGCTTGCCCGAAACCCCTCAAGGACGGGGTGCCCAGTTGCCGACTGGCTTGCGGGGCCCCACATCAGAGCCGGCTGGCAGCGAGCAGCTGGCCTTGCTGGGGGGCACCTGACCTCGGGCTGCTCCGGGGCCGCCACGCGCGAGGGGAGACTCCAGCAGGCCCCCCTGCCCCCGCCGGGTCACTGCTTGTTGGCCTTCCAGGAGAGGTAGGTGTTCCAGACAATGGCGACGCACTGCACCACGGCCAGCCTGGGCGGAGAGAGGCAGAGGGTGCCGTCACTGCAAGGCCGGCATGGGGGGGCGCCTCCGTGGCACCAGGGGGCGCCGGGGGGGTGGCTTACCTGTAGTTCAAGGGGACGAAGTAGAAGTTGGCCATTTGCACAGCTGGCCACAGCTGGAGGCGGGGGGAGAGAGAGAGCGTGTCACGGAGGAGGCGGGGTGGCCCCACGGCAGCAGCGTATCTGGGGCTGTCCTCCGCGAGGCTCCGGGCGGCCCGCAAGGGCAATGAAGCAGCCCCGGCTGTACCGCCCCCCTTCCGCTCCTGGCTGCAGGGGCCGTCCCAGACGCCAAGCTCGGGGCCGCTGCCCGGATGGGGGCTTGGGGGTCTGCTGGGAGAACACTCACGTAGTAGTTGGTGACCAGGGCATCGGGGTAGTCCTGCAAGAGAGCGTCGGCAGACGGCGGGTTGGCCTGGGCAGCCCCATCCCACCGCTGGCTCACGTGCAGCTTGCGACCCACGGCGAGTCCAAGGGCTGAGCCACGCCCCCCATCCTGGACATCCGGTTCCCCCTTCCCGGGTGGAGGGGGCCCCGTCCGTTCCTACTGAGCTTCAATCTGCTGCTTTTGGCCAGTGCCCAGCCTGCCAAGGCGACTTCGAAGTTTGCGTCTGTCTTCCCGGGGATTAGCTGCCCGGCCAGTGTTGTGGCATCTGCAAAGGCCAAATACCTCTGCACCCAAGCTGAGCCCCGGTGACCTCCCCCAGCTGGGCAGGTGCCACTGAGAGGCACGCTCTCAGCCTGACTCTGCGGCCAGCTGTGGATCCACGTGCCGGCTCTTTCTCTTTTTCTTTTATTTATTTTTCGATTTATACCCTGCCTTTTTCCTACAAAGGGCTCAAGGCAGCTCACCTCCTCCTCCTCCTCCATCTTATCCCCACAACAACCGCCCAGTGAGGTAGCTTGGGCTGAGAGCCTGTGACTGGCCCAGAATCACCCAGCTGGCCCCATGGCCGAGCGGGGACTCGAACCCGGATCGCCTGAGTCCCAGTCCCACGCTCTCAACCGCTGCGCCACACTGGCTCTCTTCCATCAAGCCCACTTGTGGCTGCTCAGAATGTCACAGAACCATAGATCGCCGAGCTGGAAGGGGCCAGGGAGGCCATCAAGCCCCACGCCCTGCTAATGCGGGTCACCACGTTACACCTCCCGCTCAGGTGGCTGCCCAGTTTCTTTCCGAATGCCTCCAGTGGGGGACAGCACGCAGGGGGCCACGTTGTCAACAGTCGTGCTGAAGTCACGCCACATCGTGTCCTCAGCATTCCCACAGCCCACAAGGGAGGTCGCCGGATCAAAGAGACTTCTCTGACCACCCCCAAGTGGGAACAGGAATACGCAGCAGCCCAGCCTGAAGGCCGGGGCAAGACCTCCACCTGCCCAGCTCCTCCGCAACTGGAGCCTGCAGGTGTCGCCTTTGGTAAAGGCCACGGCACATGGCCAGCAGGGCTAGTAGCCACTGATGGCCTCCTCCCGCATGAGCCTCTCCAGTCCCCTCTTAAAGCCGCCCAGATTGGTGGCCGTCACAGCTGAACTACACACTGTGTGAGGGCCTTCCTTCCCTCTGCCCTAAAGCTCCCCAGTCGGCTTCGTGGGGGGACTCCTTTGGGTCCGGGAGAGGGAGAGCAAGGTCTCCGCCCCACTCTTGCCACCCCACACATTACTTTGAACGCCTCCGTCACGCCTCCCCGTCCTTGCCTTCCTCTAGGCTGAGCGGTCCCAGCTGTCCTGGCCGCTCCTCACAGGGAGCGGCTTCAGCCCCGGACTGTTTCGTGGCCCTTCTCTGCACCTTTTCCAACGGAAAGATGCCCCTTTCCAGGGAGAGCACCCACAACTACACAGAATATTCCAAGGGCAGCCGCACCAAAGATCTGTACGAGGAAGCAAGATCCTGGCAGTGGCTTCCTATTACGACGTGAGCCTCGGGGGTGGGAGGCGGCGTCCCTATCCTGGGCAGTGCCATGTGAGGACACCCGGCCCGGGCAGAGTGGGGCCAACTGGCGGAGACAGTCCTCTGAGGCTCCCGAGCACCGCCAGGCCCCCTCCAGCCCAGGGGCGCCCCAGGATTCCCTCGCACGTGTGGCCCCAGGATGGAGGGCGAGGGAAGGGGCCCCAGGGGGCAGCACGGCCGCCCACGGGGTGCCTCTCTGGCTGACTGGCCCTGGCCGCCTGCCCAGGCCCTCGTCTCCCACTCGCCGAGCGGGTGCCTGCGAGCGCCTCTGAAGGAAGGCACCGTGAAATTTATCCTTCATGACTCATCTCTGCTCAGCAAACAGCAACCTGCTTGCGCTCCTGGCAGACACAAGGCGGGAGCCCTTTGCCGGCCGCGGAAAAGCAAACAGCGCAAGTACCTGGCCTGGCCGCAGCAAGAACGGGCGGGAGGGTGCGGGTCACACTGGCCACCCCCTTCGGCAGGCCTGCCCGGGGTGACTCATCCGCACCGGCCAGGAGGCGGGGGGCACACAGCTCCCTCGCCCGGCAGAGCACCGCTAGCCCACGGCAGCGCTTGGACGGGCAGAGCGAGAGGCCGGAAGGAGGCAGGCCAGGCGGGCGGCGAGAACCGCCGAGAGCCAGAAATGCCCGCCCCCCCCCAGGCTGGGGGTGCTCTTGTGGGGGCGGAAGCGGCTGCGCTGGCACATGAGGAACCTGGCCTCTCTGGGACACCCAAAATAAGGCCGGGGCGCCTCCCCCGGGCGCTTCTCGGACGGGGGAAGCCGCTGCCTCCCCAGGGTCACCAGTGGATCGCAGGAACGGCTCCCCAGCCCAGGATCCTGCCAGCCGGAGGCCCCGGCGGGGGGCGATCGCAAGGGTCTCCCTTTCGCCATCTTGAGTACGATTTTATTGGAATGGCAGATCGAGGAGAAGGCTCTGCTCTCCTTCTTTGCTGCTGGATTTATTTTTTTTCTTTTGCTGAATTGCACATTGGCCAGAAATCTGGCAGTTTAGTGGTGTGGTACAGGGTGTCCCCACTCCTAACTCTAGAACAGCATGGCCATCCCAGGAAGCGGACAGGTGGGAGGCGAGGAACAGGCGAAAGGGCGGACTTTTCATGTAGCACCGAGTTAAACTAGGGACGCGCTTCCACGGAATGGGCTGATGGCCACCATTCTGGAAGGCTGGCCCCATTCATGGCTGCTCGTGCTCATTGGCCCTTCCCGGCAAAGGGGCAGCACCGGCCAGCCCCTCTGCCGGACCGGGGCTGGCTCCTGGGGCGGAACCGTGTGTCCTGGCCTGCCGAGGCCAGCGGGCCGCAGGGACCGAGGAGGCGTGGGCCCAGTGGGGTGGCATCCCTGCGGCCACGCGGCCGCCTTAACCTGCCTTCACCCGCCCCCCCTCGGGGCCTCGCTGGGCCAACTTACCCGCTTCACCTTGTCCCAGTTCCTTTCAAGAGACAAGCCGTTGACGGTCCCCACCAGCAGCAGGAAGCAGCCGAGGAAGCAGGGGGCGAACCCGCCCTGTGGGAGAGGAGGGGCACTCAGCAAGGGGGTGCGGTTCTGCCTTGGCAAGGGGGCAGGAGGAGCAGCATGCCCGGGACCAGTCGGGGCTCCGCACAAGGCAGCGGCAGGGCAGGGCAGGGCAGGGCAGGGCGCCCTGCTCCCCCAGGGAGGGCTCCAGGCACCTGCAGGGCTCCAGCAGGCCCAGCCAGAGGGTCCAGGCCCCCTTGGGGAATCTGAGCCTGGCCAGTCACCAGACCTGCTGGGGGAAGCAGGTGGGCAGCTGGGGGAATGCCAAGCCAGAGGAGTGCCGGCCCAGAGTCAGCCGCGATCTGGGCAAGAGTCCTCGCCAGGCAGCTCCCTGAACACCAGGGGGGCTGAAGTGTGCGTTGGAGGCCAGCGTGAACCTGCAAAGGCCTGGACAAGGCCCACCCCCGCTGGGGGACACCCCCCCGACCTGATCCAACAGCATCTTCTGGAGTGCAGCCAGCCTGGTCCTGCCGGGTACCAGGCGATCCAGGACCTGGTACCAGCCTCCCACGACGGGGCCCTGCAGAGAAGGTGCAACAGGCAGGCCTTGGGAGGGGCTGTTCCCACACGGAGCCCCCCCCCCCACTTCCCCCAGCCTGTTTGAGGACAAGGCGGCTTCATACCCCCAGTCCCGTGGAAGGGCTGGGGCAGCCTGGCGCTGAGAGGACCCATTCACGCCTCCCCACCCCAGTCCCCATCCCCGTCCCCTCGGTTCTCACCACGAAGCAGAAGCCAACGGCCATCATCTTGAGAGTCCGCCGGGGGCTGTGCCCCGCCAGCCCCCTCCTCTCCACCACCTGCTGAGAGATCACATCTCCGGCACCCACCAGTGTCCCTGGACAAAAGCAACGGACGTTCACAGCCCGCCCAGTGCCCGGAAGCACGGAACGCCGGGCGAGGCGGGGGCTCCCTTTCCCAGGCACCTCCACACAACCGGGGCCTCCCCACTGCCCGCCCTGCACCGGAAGGCCGCCATGTACCTCCCCATTTATGGCCACTCCTGAGCTGGGAAGCAGCAGCTCACCCTAGCCCTGCACGGCCATGCGGAAGCCAGAATCCCACAGGGGGGTTCCCAGCCAGGACAGCGGGCAGCCCCCCGGCCAAGCGCTCACCCATGGCTGGGCATTGCACCCGAGCCAGCCCGATGCGACTGGAGGCCCGGGGAGCTGCTGCTTCCTGGGCCAGAACGCTCTGGACTGGGTGGGGAGGACCGCGTGCCTGAACACTGCACACCCCCCGCACGGAAGTCTTGTGCACACCCAACAAGCACCCCCTCCTGGTGTGCATCCCCGACTGTGTGTCTGGCTTTGTTGCACTTGCAGCACAGCACCAAGCAGCCTCTCCAGGCTGCTCCCTGGGAGGCCGGGGTGCAAGCCCACAGGGCCACGGGGAGCTGGCCTGCTGTGCCTGCCCAGCGGGGCCTCCATTGAGTATGGCCGGGGTTGTGGAGGAGGAGAGCCCTGGCACAGAGCCCGCCCCCGTGGCTCTCGTCCTGCAGGGGCGCCTGGTCTGCGGGGACAGAGCATGTGGCCCGACGGCCCCTGCCTGGGAAGGCCCACCTCGCTCCCTGGCTGGAGTGCAGCCAGCGGGCAAAGGGAGCAGCCAGGCGCCGGACTCAGGAGCCCTGCCCGCCTGCCCCCGCCCGCTCGCAGGAGCTGGACCCAACGGGAGCAGGGCTGCGGCCGCGGGATGCTCCACAGGCCAAGGTGAGCCGTGAGCTCTGCAGGCCAGCGCGCCTGCCTGGGACTCCGCCGAGCCCCGGTGAACCGGCAGCGGCCCAGCTGCAGAGCGCAGGAGCAAGCAGGGCCAGGTGCAGGAGGGCCGAGGCACCAAGCGCCCTTCCTGGCTCAGCCACTGAACAAGAGCCCCACGGTGGGCCGGCCGGGACACCCGCCAGGCAAGCGTCGTTCAGTTGCCCAGGAGAGGGAAGGGTCCCAGACCTGGCAGGAGAAAGAGAAGTGGGGCGGGCGAACTGGGCCTGCAAGTACGCTGAAGGTGAGTCTTTTGCACGGGCATCTCCTGCACAAGCGCGTGATGCCCTCCCCAGACACACGTCTGTGCCGTTCTGCCCCAGCCCACCACGGGGCCGGCTTTGCGTCCTCCCTCAACCTGCTTTCCCCAGCGGAAATGGCTCCTCCGCTCCTTCGGCTCACAAGAGGGCGCGTGGCGGAGGTGGCACCTGAATGACGCAGCTGGCAGAGCTGCCAAGAGTAATGGGATGAGAGTCGCCCGTTGCCGGCCGTCACAGAGATTGATGCGTCCCCAGGCGATGACTTCACCCACCCACCCACCCGGCACCTTGGGGGACTGCCAGCCCCGCTCTCAGACGCTCCACAGATTCCATCACACCTGATGGATGGGTGCCCCGTGGTGCCGTGGTTAGCGGCAGAAATGGGGGGGGCATGCACACAGGTGCAGGGACCACAGCCCAGCTGTCAGAGCAGCACGGCAGAGGGACCAGCTGCCCGGTGAGGCGTGGGGCCTGGCCACACTGGGGACGTTCAAGGTGAAAAGGGACCATCATCCCGTGGGGTGGTGTCAGCTGGTGTCCTGCAACAGCAGCAGGCTGGCTGGTCCGGCCTCTCCACAGCTCCTGAGCGTGGAATGGACTCATCCCCACAGCCGGTGGGCTAAGGGGTGCCACTGCCCCGCGCCAGCGTGGCTGTGACACGCGGTGCTCCTCTGCGCACCCCGCGGAACCCAGTTCTGAAGAAGCTCTGGGGGTCCCAGCAGAGTAACAGAAAGCAGGAGACTAGAAACTGGCTCACCAGCGCCTCCGCCTGCCAGAACGGCGAACAGCTCCTGCCCGCCCCCCAGGGAATCTGCTCACTCCACACATGAACCGGCCCGGCTCCCGGCCTTGGGGCTGTGCCTGAGCAGGACACGCACGCCGCATTCTCGGGTGCCGTGCCAGCCCCACCGCGTAGGGCTGGAAAGCTCCCGGGAGAGGCGCTGCTGCCGCCCCCCCGCCAGTCCTGCTTCAGAGGGACTCAAGGGACGCCTCCGTGGCGGCATTCCAAAGACGCAGCGGCTGTGCTCGTGCTCATGCGGCAAGCGCGGAGTTTAGGGGGGTTCAGCAGGCCACGGGCAGCTTTAGGATCCGGCGGGAGGTGCTTAACCCTTGTAGAAGCCACATTCTCCGGTTCACATGACGTGGCAACTCCCACACATGGGTTGCACAGACAACCGGGTGCCCCCCCAGCTGCATCGTGCGCCACCTTCCTGTGACGCATGAGCCGGGCAAAGCCCAACGACACCGTTCGCCTCCCACCGAGGGTCAAAGGCAAGCTCCCCTCCTCTGCCCCGTGGCCCTGGCGGCACTGCACTGCGCCCGGCCCCCCGGGGCCCTCCGGAGGCTGGGCTGCAGCGCCCACCAGCCTGGCCGGCGCCGTCGATGCAGCGGGCGCTGCAGGCCGGAGCCGAGGCCCCGCAAGCGGGAGGCAGCAACCGCCCCGCCCGGCCCGCGCTGCCGCCGGGCTCGGCTGTGGGGCTCCGGCGCGCGCGAAGGAGGGGCCCTTCCTGCGGGGCTCGGCGGGCGCCAGGGGAGGCCTGCAAGGCGCCGGGCCGCCCCGGGGGCCCCGCACGTCCCGGCGGGGCTCTGCGGGGAGGGGCGCCGGCCGGGCTGGGGGCGGTGGCGGCGGGCGGACCGCCCTTACCGGCCGTCAGGATCTGCACCTTCCACGGGTGCCGGCTCAGCAGCCGCTGGTAAGCGCGCCACAGCCCCGCCGCCATAGCGCGCGCGCCCGCCCCGCCCGGCGCCCATTGGCAGAGCACGCGCGCGCGAGGGGCGGGGCGTCCCTCGGGGGGGGCGGCGGCCCCGCCCGGCACACGGCCGAGCCCCGGAAAGGAGCAGGCGCGGGGCGGCCGCCCGGAGCAGGCGCCGAAACCGAGCCGGGCGGCGATCGGGGGCGGCTTCATCCGCCCCCCGGTCGCGCCACGGAGCCGGGGGGGGGGGGGCGGCGCAGGCGCAGTCGAGCCCCGCCACAGGCAGCGGCCGGAGAGTCTCTAGGGGGGCGACTGGCCGCGGGCCCCCGACTCGGCCCCGTCGCTGGGGAGCGGGCGGCGGGTCGCCCTCGCCGGGGGCTCCGTGCGCAGCGGCGTTGCCGCTCGGGAGCAGCCGCTGGCCCGGTCCGCGCGCCTCCGTGCTCAAGCGCTCCGCCCCGGGCGCGGCAGCCCCTCCGCCCCAGGCCACAGACACGCGGTTTGCGCAACTAGCTTTATTGTCTTTTCATTCTTGTAGAAAAAGAGCACGAGAGTCAGCCGGGCTTGCGGGTCTTTGCAGGTCTGTGGCTTCGCAGCCAGGAATGCGCTGCAGCCAGACGAGAGCTGTGGGGAGAGTCCGCCCGGGGAGGTCGAGGCGCGTGGGGTCCGGACGCACGCCGAGGGGAGTGGGGCCTCGGAAAGGGGGCCGCTCCGGGGCTGGCCGGGAAGCAGACGTGTCCCGCGCAGCCGGGTCCAAAGGCGCCGTGCTCCCGCTGCTGTCCTGCGGACGCCCTGCCGGCTGGGGCCAGGTGGCCTTTGGTGGAATGAGCGCGGCGACGGGCACAGCCCAGGCAGGAGGGTCGAGCCCGGAAGGGGCCACACCGCCCACCCTGCGTGCCACGCCAGCAGCGGGCGAGGGTCAGAAGCGGCCGAGTACCGTGGCCAGGAGAGCCATGCGGATGTACATGCCGTTCTCCGCCTGCCGGAAGTAGGCTGCGCGGGGGTCAGAGTCCACCTCCACGCTGGAAAGGAAGGAACAGCAGGAGGCGATCACCACTGGAAGTCTGGCCGGCGCAGACACACCTCGGGTGCACAGCACTGCCTCCCACAAGAGGCTGCTGCATTGCAGGCCGGCCCCAGGTCCCCCGAACCGGGGATCCTGCCCCGGGCAGAAGCGCTGCCGTCGGGGCAGGCGAGCTGCGAGCCCCCCGCCTTCTCTTGTGCTCCTGCTGCCCTGCCCGGCTGGTCCCCCCGGGGGAGGATGCTTGGCGGGCCTGGGAGAGGGGATGCCCTGGCCTGACCGAGCTGCACCACACAGGAGCAAAGGCCCCCGAAGGATCCTGCCCAGAGGCTGCCCCACAGCGGTCAGCAGCAGCCGGCGCGGCAGGCCCTCCTGGGTGCTGGCTCGGCTTCGTCCCTTCTCCCACCCTGGCCCCATGTCCTCCTGTGTGGGCGCTTTTTGACCGCAGGCCGGCAAGCTGGGGCCTTCTTTCTACCGCTGATGCGCAAGTCAGCCTGGCACCTTTTCAGCTGAGCAACAGAATGCAAGCTCTGCATGATGGGCCCCGGGGATGGCCTCGGCCAGCCCCTCCGCACCTGATCTCGTTGACGCGAGGCATCGGGTGCATCACCACCATCTTCTTCTTCGCCCGCGTCATGATGTGCGGCGTCAGGATGAACTGTCCAAAGCACTGAGAGCGAGGGAGATGGAGGGCACACGCTAGCTGGCACCTGCTGGCCGCACTGCGCTGTCCCCGCGGGGCCCTGGGCCCAGGACAGACGGCCCCACCGTGTCTTTCCGGGCCGCCAAGAAACCAGCACACGTGGCGGGAGACCTGGCAGGCCGTGGGGCACGGCCACGGCCTTCCCGACGGCCAGAGGCCTTCTGTGCGGAAGGCGCGTTCAGTGCCTCTACTCTTTGGTTCAAGATGGAGGCAGCCCCAGTTGTGAGAGGAGGCTGGGGGGGGGGAGGCTCTTGCTGGGAGGACCGCCAAGAGGCCCCTGGAGGGCAAGGCAAGCGGGTGGGCGTGTTTGCATGTGCGGCGGGAAGCACGGCGGTCGAAAGGGCACGTCCAGGTCAGCCCGGCAGGGCACACAAGCCCTGAGGGCCAGCTGCCTTGGGCGGCCCTGGCGGGAGGGGAGATTGCCGGGGTGCCGCTGGGGGCTTCCGCGTGGCTCGGGCGCATGCCGGAGGGACGGACTGCAGGGGGCCCATCCCCGCTCGGCCTGCAGGCACCAAGCCACACAGGCGGCACCACAATCTCGGCAGGGGAGGGAGGGGCTGGCGTGTCCCTGCAGCTTCGCTCCCTGCTAGCGGGGCCCGGGCAGCACCCAGGCCCCAGAGACCCGGCGGCCGTTTCACACGCCCACGTTTCACACGCCCTTCGCTCACCGCTTCGTACTCCTGGACTGAGGCGAAGCGCTCCTTCTGGATGCGGGTCACGTACAGCACGTCGGTGTCCGGGAGGGCCTCCTCGATGTTCTCAAACTCCTCCTGGGGAAGGCGGGCGGGCGGGCGGGCGGGCAGGGGGCCGTCAGCAGCGCAGGCAAGAGGGAGCTGGACGCCCACGCAGCAGGGCCCCCCACGCCCGGCCATTCTGGCTGCTCCACCCCCCGCCTAGGAGGAGTCCGGAGGCCGTTAAATGGGCGTGCGGCTCTGCTGCCTCAGGCCGAACGCGTCCACGTCCTTTGGCTCTCACGGCCGGAGGGCGGCATCCCGTCCCGCCCGGCCCCGTCCGCTGCTCACCTGCTTGATCCCCTTGGAGGCCACGAAGTGGAAGATCTCGGGCGGCATGCGCAGGCTGGGGGGCGTGACGTAGCGCAAGGTGATGCGGTAGAGGGTCAGGAGGCGGGCGAGGGAGTGCACCGTGCGCCCGTGCTTCAGGTCGCCCACCATGGTGATCTGTGGGCGGCAAGGAGACCCTGAGCGAGCCGCCCTGGGGAGCTCGGCCTGCACTCGGCCCCCGCCCCCCATCCCCCGCCGGGCAGCTCACCGTCATGCCGTTGACCGTGCCCAGCTCCTCGCGGATGGTGAAGATGTCCAGCAGGCCCTGCGTCGGATGCTCCCCGACTCCGTCGCCGGCATTGATGACGGGCTTGCGGCAGTGCTTGGCTGCCAGCTGGTGGGGCGAGCGAGGGGGGCGTGAGGCAGGGGGAGGCCTGCTTCGGCTCGTGCTCGTGGGCCCTGCAGGGGGGTCGCCCCATCCCTTGCCCTGCCTGCTGAGGTCAGCTGGACCAGGCGATCCCTGCCCATTCTGACCGGGGGGGCCCCAGCAGGCATCCCTGAGGCGGGGGGGCCCCAGGCACTGGCCCCGCCTCTGCTGGCCCGCCCCCCCAGCCCGCCCTGGTGCAAAGGTCCTGGGGAAGTCAGAAGCATCAGCGCTGCTTTTGCCACCGGGTTTCCGTGAAGAATCCGTCCGGCAGGCCTGCGCAGTGCAGAGGCGGGGGGCTGGGGGCAGAGCGCGGGGGCCGGAGTCCGGTGAGGCGGGGCAACCGCTGCGCAAGGGGCTGTGCGGGCAGCCAGCCGGGGGCCTGGGGCCTTGCCTGGGGGGCTCAGCTGCGGGCATGCGCAGCCCTTCTGCCGAGGCAGGAGGAGCCACCTCGGCCACAAAGCAGACGACCCACGGAGACCCAGAGGCCTCGGAGCGTGCCGGGAGGAGGCCTGGCGCGCGCCCCAGATCTGGCCCTGAGCCCCGAGCCCCGTGGCCGAGGGGGGATGGCCCGCGGCCTCGCGGGGCAGCGAGACACTCGGCTCTCTTCCCTCCCGCCCCCGATGTCCCGGAGCCCCCCAGGCGTCACCTCCACCGCTCCAGGCTGCGGGTGCCGCAGGACGAGCACGTCTGCGTAGCAGCTCATGGTCTGGACCGAGTCAGCCAGCGACTCCCCCTTCTGGCAGGACGACGTGGCCTCAGTGAAGGGCAGCACGGAGCCGCCCAGGCGGCACATGGCGGCGGCGAAGGAGCTGCTGGTTCGCGTGCTGGCCTCGTAGAACATGGAGGCCATCACCTTCCCCTGCGCAGAAGCACACCTGGCTCAGTGCGGCTGCCCCACCAAGGCCCCCCCCCCCTCCGCGCCTGCCTCACCTTGAGGATGTCCAAGCTGCGCTCCTTCTGCACCATCATGCGCAGGTTGTGCGCCACGTTGAACAGGTGGGACAGCTGTGGCAGAAAAGGGGTTGCTGAGCGCCGCCGGAGGGCCGGGACCCCCCTTGCGGGACCGCGGGAGCGGGGGCACGGCGGGGCGGGTCCTCACCTGGCCCTTGGTGAACTGCTTGACTGACAGCACGTGCTGCCCCACGAGCGGGTGCAGCAGCGGCGAGGTCTGGGGGTGCGGCAAGCTCTGGGGGGACGGCTGCCTGGGCAGGGGCCCCGCGAGGTACAGCGGTCCGTCCTGGACCGTGGCCGGGTCTGTGGGGCAGAGCGCAGCTGTGAGGGGAGGAGGCACGGCACGGCACGGCACGACACGGCACAGCGGGCACCTCCCTCCCCCCGCGGGAGCCCCGAGGAGGGCGAGCTCACCTGCTTCCGGGGCTTTTTTGACGGCCTTCTCCCGGAGGTCTGCAGCTGGCCAAGGAAAAGGGGGCACCATTGCAGGGAAAGCGCAGCACGGTGGGGACACACACCGCAGTCCCCAGGCTGCCCGCCCCTCCCTCCCTCCCCACAGCGCGCATCACCTGGCAGTCCAGGGTCAGATGCACGGTGGATTCGGGGCGCCAAGTAGAAGCGGGCATCCCCCATGGGCCCGGCTCGCCGAGGACTGGGTGCCCGGCCACGCAGGGCTTCCGTGGGCACGGCCGGGTGGGGGCGCTCCGGAGTCTGCAAGAAGTGGAGGTGAGATGCGGAAGGGCAGGCCGGTCCCCCGCAGCCCCCTCCCTCCCTCCCCCCCCCCAGCGAGGGAGCGCCGTGTGCGGCCCCCGCACCCACCTTCAGGATCTCCTTGGCCGGAGCGCTGAGCGGCGCCGGGCACAGCCACTTCCGCACATCCTCCCCATAGCCGGGGGGTACCAGGACCTGCGGGAGCCAGAGAGGTCACTGTGGTGGCCTGCCAGGCCTGCGTGGCACCGGACCCCTTGGGCCCCCGGGGGGAGCCCCATGCCGCTGCCCCTCCCCAGGGCCTCGCCCGCCCCACTCTGCCCCTTACCTGCCCGTCGATGTAGGCCACCTCCCCGCGGAGGATGACCCGCCGCACCGTCCCCTTCACCCGCATCCCTTCGAAGGGCGTCCACCGGGCCTTGCTGAAGGCCGTGTGGGGGGGCACCAGCCCCTCCTGCTCCAGATCCACCTGTGGGGATGGGACGGGAGGGGAGCTGAGGGCAGGCGCGGGGGCTGCTGCCGGGACCCAGGCAGAGGGGGCCGCCTGGAGCGAGGCAGCCAAGGCCACGGTGGCCCACGCCAGGGTGCGCCCGGTCCTCCCAGCCCCGCCTCACCTCCACGTAGGTGTCCTCCTGCACGGGCAGCCCGAAGATGCGCCGCGGGTTCTCGTACAGCCGCCGGACGATGTCGTCCACGGTGAGGCGCCCCTCCGAGACGGCCGTCAGCAGCAGGGGCAGCATGGTCTCCAGGCCGGGGAAGCCGGGCGGAGGGTCCTTCCCCAGCTTCTCTTCCAGGGTGTGTGGGGCTGGGCATGGGGGGGAGGGAGGGGCATGGGGGAGGCAGCCCCCCACAGCACCTCATTAATCACAGGGGTCCGGGCATTGCGGGCAGCCCCAAGCCCTCCATGGCTCTCCAGAGGGGACCCGGTCCGTGTTCGGGTTCAGGGCCATGCCTTACCATGGTCGGAGGCGAAGCAGTCGATGGTGTCCAGGTTGTCCCAGAGCGCCTCCATGTCCTCGCGAGTGCCAAGCATGGGCCGCACCTGCCCCCGGCCCTCCCCGATGCGCCCCAGGTCCTCCTGGCACAGGAACAGGTGGTGGGGGGCAACCTCGCAGGTCACGGCAATGCCCTTCTGCTTTGCGGCCTTGACGAGGAGGATCTGAGCGGAGGAGAGGAGAGGAAACAGAGAAACAGAGCGAGTCAGAAGGGGCCTCCCGGGCCATCTAGTCTGACCTCCGGCACCAGGTGTGCATGTCCAGTTCAGGAGAGGAGAGGCGAGGCTCCAAGCACATGCCCGGGCCGGGGAACCGCTGGGGCCACCCCGGCACGCTCAGGCGGCACCTGCCCTGGGCAGCCCTCGCCAGCCACTCACCTCCTCCTTGCGGGCCACGTGGCAGATGTGCACCGGGCGCTGGTAGAGCTGGGCCACCATCAGGATGGCGGCCACGGTCTGCCTCTCCGCGTGGGCCACGATGGGGAGGTGCTTCGGCCACTTCTCGAAGTGCTGCAAGGGAGGCGGGCAGTGGGGCGACGGCGGACGCGCTCGGGTCTCCCACGGAGGGAGGCGGGCGGGTGGAGTGAGCCCCCGGGGGCTGAAGCCTCTGCCAGGCAGGTGGGCACCACCCCCAGTGGGACGGGGCCCCGGAGGAGGAGGGGGCCGGAAAGCCCCCGCAGCCCGGCCAGCTGCCTCCTGGCGCCTCCGCTGCTCCTGCGGCTCACCTCCATCCAGAGGGAGACGTTGTCCATCTTGAGGTCCGAGAACGTGTCGTTCAGGTACATCTTCAGGCCGGCGGTGGCTCCAGCCAGCAGCCCCAGCGAGCCGGCGTTGTCGGACGAGGCCCCGACGTACAGCGCGAAGTCGCAGCGCGCCCCCGCCTCAGCCAGCTGGGGAAGGGGAAGCGGGCAGGCGGCCCCGGCTCAGGCGGCTGCTGCCAGCGGGCCCGGGAGGCTGCCTGCCGGAGGACCGCCTCGCCCCCGGGGCCATCGGTCCTGGGAGCAGGGGCGCTCGGCCAGGGAGGGGCCTTGCCGACCCACCCGGGGCGCCGCACGCCGGGGCTCGTGCCTCCTCACCTTCTGCACCAGCGCGAAGGAGCCGGCGTCGGTGACGGCGGGGCAGGTGTTCGGCATGGCGCAGACCAGGGTGATGCCGCCGGCCAGAGCAGCTGCGGTGCCGGAGGCGAAGTCTTCCTTGTGGGCAGCCCCCAGCTCTCGAAGGTGCACGTGGACGTCGATCAGGCCTGGAGGGAGCGAGGGTCAGGCGGGGCCGGCTCCTGCGGCGTGCCGGGCGCTGGTCCCGCTCGCCGTGTGCGTGCCGCCCGGCCCCGGAAGCTAAGCCTCCCCGTGTGAGCTGGACGGCAGCCGCAGCGTCTTCAGAGTTGGAAGGGAGCGGGACGGGAGGGTTGCCAGAAGGGCAGCCAGCCAGTCGTGGGAAGGCCCTGCCGCCCCCTCACAGGCCCAAAAGCAGGACGCCTCATCCCGGCAGGCGCAGAAGGACTCCGGGGCGCTTGGCCGGTGCCCCCTGCCCGGTGTCCAGGAGGCTCCACCCCCTTCTGCCCACCTGAACAGGGACAGAGGGTGCTGGAGGCTCTGGGGGGACCGAGGTGGGGCTGAGGGGCTTCAGGAGGGAGCTGAGCCATGCAGGGAGGCTTGGGGTCCCCACAGCACTGTAAGCGCCTGTTCTGGCTCCACGGACAGAATTCAGCGCAGTCCCCACCTGCCAGGCCTAACCTGGCCTCCTGGAAGAAATGGGCCCAGGTGGGCCCAGGCGAGTGCCCGCTCCATCCACCAGGGGCTCCGGCCCACACCTACCTGGCAAGCGGATGAGCTTCTGCGAGGTCATGCAGTCCACATGCATCTTCAGCGGAGGGGGTCCCCCGATCTGGCCCAGAGCCTGCGGGCAACAGAGGACACCCTGAGCCTGGCGCGGCCTCGCCCCCCACCCCGGCTGCAGCCCCCCTTGCAGCTCCCGCCCCCACACACCTCCACGAACAGCTTGGTGCACTTGATGTCAATGATGAGGGGCACCGAGTAGTCGACCGCCAGGCGCCGGGTGCGGTAGCCCTTGGTGACGAAGGAGGAGAGGCGGCGCCCCCCCCGAGTTGCGCATGGACAGGTTGATGACCAGGTCGAAGTGATTCTCGGCCAGGTAGTCCAGGATGCTGCGCTGCTGGTTCTCCTTGACGGGCACCTCCGCGCCGTCGGCCTCCTCGAAGTGCCAGTCCACTGCCGTCACCTGCGGCAAGCGGGGGGCTCTGAGCCGCACGGGTGCTGCTTCCAATGGCAAGGCTGCAGCCATCCCCGCGAGAGAAGGCCGTGCGGACCCCGGCGGCCCGGCCCTCGTGCAGCAGAACGGGCCTGGAGGCCATGCTGAGCCGGGCGGCAGGAGCACTGCCCAGGGCTGTGCCCACTGTGAGGGCCCGGAGCACGTGGAGGGGCAGGAGAACGGGATGGGGGGCTTCTCTGAGGGGCGGAAGGGGGCCCGGGTCTCTCCAGGGCGGTCAGCGGCAGGAACGGGCTTGTGGCCCTCCGGTAAGCCAGCCCAGCGAAAGCAGCGGCGCGCCCCCCCCCCATCCTTCCTGCCCGGCCGTCTCCGTCGCTGCCTGGCTCCCCCCGATGCCGGCCGTGCTCCCGCCAGGATGGAGCGCATCGGCAGCCCCGCCTGAGCAGCGCCCGCACCCACCTTGATGCCGTGCTCGGTGTAGAAGTCGGCCGTGCCGAGGCTGGCGTAGAGGCTGTAGCCCAGGCTCTCCAGCGTGCGCACCGTGGACAGAAGCTCGCTCTTGTTCTGCGGGGGAGCCGGGTGAGGGGGCGCGGATCCTGCCGCACGCCTGCCCGCCCCGGCACCCATCCACCCAGGGGGCTTAGCCCCCAGGCCCCCGCAGGGCTCACGCCCCCACCGCCTTCCTTCTCCCCTCTCCCCGGAAGAGCGCAGGAGGCTGCGGGCCCGGCTCCGGCCCTGCCGCCAAACCACCCCGAGACGATCCGTCAGGAAGAACTCGGGAGGGCACAGGGAGCCCGCTGCAACCCGGAATCACGGAACCAAGGCGAGGGGGCTGTCATCATCTGCTCGAGGGGCAGCGCTGCCCAAGTCCAGAGGCGGCCGCTTTGAGGCCAGGAGGCGCCTGACCAAGATTAACCACCGGCTTCCGCAGCTGAGAACCCAGCGCCCACGCAGAAGGGCTGGGATTCGACCGCAGGTGCCTGCAAGTGGCGCGGCCAGGAAGGCCCTCCGCGGGTCCGGAGCCCGGCTGGCTGGACCAGTGCCTGGCGCAGGCCGAAGCCCCAAGGGTGCAGCAAGCCAGAACGTGGCCCCAAGTATTAATTACCTGGCTTATTTTATACAAAAACCACGTCGGGTTGGTGGTCGTGGGTTGCTCCCCGCTGTGCACAGACCCCCCTCACTCCCTGTGGCACTTCAGGGGGAGTGAGATGAGGAGGTGCGGCTGCCCGCCAGGGCCAACGCCAATCCTGGCCAGAACGGATCAGCGGTCGGATCCCTGCGAGGAGCCAGGGAGGTGCCCAGCCCCACCCCCGGCCCCAGCCCGGCTCACCTTGTAGCTCCCGATGGTCAGCAGGATGTTCTTCTTGGGGATCTTGAAGCCGGTGCTCAGCATGGCCTTCAGGTAGGCCTCGCAGCGGTTCTCTCCGAAGCAGGCCACCTCGCCCGTGCTGGTCATCTCGACCCCCAGCACCACGTCGGCCCCCGCCAGGCGCGAGAAGGAGAACTGGGGCACCTGGGAAGGCGGGCACAGGCCGGGGGCCGCTGAGCACACCCCGAGTGGGGCCGCTCCACGGGAGCTGGGGGCCCCGCCCCCCCACTCACCTTGACGCCCACGATGCCGGTGCCTGTCATGAGTCCCACGGGCTCCACCTCCTCGCCCATGATGACTTGCGTGGCCAAGGCCACCAGGTCCACGCCCAGCGTCTTGGAGACGAACGGGAAGGACCGGGACACCCGGACGTTGCACTCGATCACCTTCAGCTGGTCGTGCTGCGGAGAGCGGCCGGAGCAGGTGGGCGCCTGGAGCAGCGCATGCCCCGCGGAGCCGGCCGGGACCTGCGAGCGCGGGAGCCGGGCCCACAGGGCAGGCGTGGCAGGGCTGACCGCAGGCGCCACGCGACGGGGGCTCCCGCAGCAGATGCAGGAGAGCCCCCTGCCTCGCCCGCAGGGGCAGCGACGGCCAGCGGGGGCACCGCGCCCACGTGCAGCCCAGGAGCGCTGCTACCAGCCGCCCCGTGACCGCCCCGCCCCGCCAGTGGGCCCTCCTGCCCGGTACCTTGGCGATGAGCTGCAGGTTGAAGGGCCCCGTCACCTGCAGCTCCTGCCCGATGGCATGCACGATGGCCTCGATCCGCTCCAGCGTTGTGGGCGTGATGTCCTGCGGGGGGGTCACCAGCGTGGCATCCCCCGAATGCACCCCGGCGTTCTCCACGTGCTCAGAGATGGCGATGGCCACCACCCGCCCGTCGCAGGCCACCGCGTCCACGTCGATCTCCTGCGTGCGGGAGGGCCGAGCTGCCGTGCCTGCTGGAAGGCCCCGGCCCCGCACCACGCTCCGTCCCGCGAGCAGCGCAGCCTGCCTCGGCGCTCCCCCAGGCGGCCCAAACCGCACTCCCTCCGGGCCGCCCGCCCGTCCGCAGCAGGGGAGGGGCAGGGCCCCGGATCATCCCCGGGGCTCCCCGCCGCCTCCCCACGCACAAATGCAGTGCCTCTTCGCTGGTGCTGGGCGCAGCAGGCCGGGAAGGCCACCGCAGGACCCGCCTCTGGGGCACATGGTGCAGCTCCCCTGTCCACGAGCTCCGGTGCCGTCTGCTCCCTGCAGAATCCTCCACCCCCAAGACAAATGTCCCGGCACCCATGAGCATTCAGAGCCCGCGGGGGCATGCTCCAGCCCCCCCCGCCCCCTTCCCGGGCAGCCCCGCTTATGCAGGGACCCTGCTGTGCTCTTCAGGTTGCTGGGGCCTCCCGAAGCCCATCCGGCAGTGCGGGCAGCAGGTCCTGGGTGCCGGGAAGCCCCAGCCGGCACGAGGCTCCCCGTGGCCGCCCCGGCCCGGCCCGGCCCGGCCCAGCCCCCCCACCTTGGCCTCCTGGATGAACTTGGAGATGACCACCGGCTGCTCCTTGGAGACGGCGACTGCGTTGCTGAGGAACCGCTCCAGGTCGCTGTCCGTGTAGGCCACGTTCATGGCGGCGCCGCTGAGCACGTAGGAGGGGCGCACCACGCACGGGTAGCCCACCTTGCAGCAGAACTGCTTGGCCGACTGCGGGCGACACGCGTGTCAGGAGGCCACGAGGCCGAGCCGCCCCGCCTGCCCGGGCTCGGCCCCACGAGCTGGCCACGGGGCAAGCGGGGCCCGCCTCCAGCTGGGACGGGGCCGCTCCTTTGCCAGGAAGCCGGCGGGCCTCGGGGGAGCGACCCGGGGGCCTCCCTGCCCCCCGCAACAGTGGGGGGCTGCAAGGGAGAGGCGCGGCCAGCCCGGGAAAGCCCAGCAGCAGGGGCCCCGAACGAGGCCCGGGGCCCCTCGGCCAGAGGCCGCCCTCACCTCCATGTCCGACAGCTCCTTCCAGAGCGGCTGGCTGATGCTGATGGTGTCCAGGAGGCGGGAGAACTTGAAGCGGTTTTCGGCAGCATCGATGGCCTCGGGGGAGGTGCCCAGGACCCGGCACTGCTGCCGGTGCAGAGCCATGGCGATGTTGTTGGGCAGCTGCCCCCCCATGGACAGGATCAGGCCCTCGGGGTTCTCCAGCGCGGAGATGTCCATCACCACCTGGCCGGGAGAGGAGGCCGCTGGGTGCGTCCTGCGCCGTCCTGCCTGCCCACGGCCCCCCAGCTGACGAGGGGCAGCGGCGCAGCCCCCAGCCCATCACCCTGCGCACCCTCGCCTTTCTGTTCCTGGATGGAGAGCGGGGCCACGCGGGGCTCCCGTTGCTTCATCGTTGTGTGGCTCGTTGCTCCGTTTTGTTCTCCGCTGCCCCAGGAGGGCTTCTTAGCAGGCGAGAACGAAGGAGAGCCAAGCCGGGCCTGGCTGGACTGGTCCCACCTTCCACTCAGGGAAGGGGCAGGCGCGTGCCGGGAGCTCCGCGGGATGGGGAACAGGTCCGCCACAGGCACGAGATGTGGGCCGCCCGGGGGGTGGGCGGCTGCCCACGGCCACGGCTTTCTGGGCTCTAGCTCCGGCTCGGCAGGCGACCGAACGGCTGGGGGACATGGCCCGGCCCGGCCCGGCCCGGCCCGGCCCGGCCCGGCCCGGCCCGGCCCGGCCCTCCAATCTGTCTGTGGGCCTGTTTCCCCGGAGGCCGAACCCGAAGCCCCTCCGCTGAGGCAGGGGCAGAAGCGACAGAGGAGGGGCGGCGGGAAGGGCTGGGGAGCCCGGGGACCGCCAACCCACAGGATGCGCGTGCGCACGGGCGGGCGGCCCCCTCACTCCCCAGTGCTCGCGCTGTGGGACTGGCGTCCTGCGTCACACGGAGGCGAGCAGGGGAGCGCCCCGCCAAGCGCTTGGGGGAGCGGGGCCCTGCAGCCTTGTGGGAAGCCCCCTCAGCGGCTCCCAGCGTCGTGGCCATGGCTCCGTGTTCAATCGATCCGAAGCAGCACGCGACCAGCCGTGGGGCCCGCGCCCGCCCCGACTCACCTCGAAGGACATTTCGTCGAAGTACAGCCGGTCGCACATGTCGTAGTCCGTGCTCACCGTCTCGGGGTTGTAGTTCACCATGATGGTTTTGTAGCCCATCTGGGGTGTGGGGAGACAAGGCACCGGCCACTTGCTGGCGCCGCTTCCAACTCCCCTTCGCCTCGGGCACCACGGCTGCCAGCAGCCCCCGCCCCAATCGCAGCAGGCGGGGCCAAAGGGCGGGGGGCCGCTCCGGACCGGGGACCCCAGGGCTCCCCTCGGCCCACCTTCGCGTAGCACCTGGCAGCGCCTGGGACCGGCCACCGGGCCCCTCCGTGCACACGTGGGGCCTGCCGTCACGTGCCACGCGGGCAGGTGGCCATGTGCGTGGGGGAGGCGCCACGGGAGGACCGGGAGCCTGGCGCACGCAGGAGGGGCGGGATCTTTGCCGTCCTCCCCGCGTGCACGACACGGAACAGCGGGCTCCGGCTGGACATGGGGCAAAGCGCCCGGACTGCTGCAGCCGCCCGCAGGGGAACCCGTGACCGAGGCGGCTGCGGGCTCTGCCACGTGGGAGGCATCCAAGGGGCGGCCACCTGGGGGATGGGTCGCGTGCTTGCTCCCCCCGCCACATGAGCCACGAGGCGCCCGGCTGGGCTCGGCGGCCCGCACTGAGCGGGGCTTGGGCCCCCTGGGCCCTTCCGGAGCCGCTCTCCTACAGTTCCGATTTTGCGGCGCGGGCGGACGAGGCCTCCGGGCACTCACCTTGCGCAGCTCCCGGATGCACCCGACCGCGCACCAGTCGAACTCCACGCTGCTGCCGATGCGGTAGACGCCAGAGCCGATGACCATGACGTGCGGCTCGCGGAAGGCCAGGTCGTGCTCCGTGCCGTTGTAGCTCAGGTAGAGGTAGTTGGTGTGGGCCGGCCACTCCGCCGCCACCGTGTCGATCTGCTTCACCACGGGCAGGATCTTCAGGTCGTGCCGCATCTTCCTCACGGCCAGCTCCGTGCTGCAACGCAGGACAGCGGCCCTCGGCAGGGTGGCCACGCACGCTCCGCGGGCACCGGCAGCCACTCCCCGCGGTCCAAGCGGAGTGTTCCCTCCCTGCCGGGAAGCGCACAGCCCCCCTGCTGCTGCGCCGTGCCCTCCCCCGCTGCAGGCCAAGAGCGGGGAGGGCCGGCCACCTGCGCGAGGCCTGTGGGGTCGTGGCGGCGCTGGCCCCGGCATGTGCCGAGTCAAGGCAGCGGTCCATGGCCAGCGCACGGCAGGTGCCACTGCAGCCCCGTGCCCTGGCGGTGCCCCACGCCTTCCGAGGGCTCCGTGGGCAGTGCCCCTTTCTGCTTTGGGCCGCAGGTCAGGATTAGGCCCCTGGCACAAGACGTGTGGCCTCTGCACCAAAGGCAGCCCCCAGACCCTTGCCACCGCCCCCCCCCCAGATAGCAGGAGAGTCCGGGGGCAGCTCTGTGCTTCATGCCACACGGCCGCCTCCCCAGGGTGTCCGAGGGCCAGCTCAGCAGCTCGCCAGGGAGCTCCCCCGGCAAGAGGGTGCAGCCCCTCCGGGTGCTTCCCTTGTCTGAAATCGCAGGCAATGCCAGCCCCCGCCCTCCCCTCCCTCCTCAGCAAACAGCAGGGGTGTGTGTGTGTGGGGGGGTGGCTTTTGTGCAACCTCTGCCACCCCGGTGGACCCTCAGCCCAGCCCCCGGCCCGGCCCCCTCCCCAGTGGGGCAGTGGCTCGCGACTGGGTCCGGCCCGCACCTGAGCACGGCCTGAGCCACCTGCTTGTCCGAGAAGCCCAGCTGCTTGGCCAGCTTGAGCATGGCGGGCGGCATGGCCCCCGGCTCGGCCTGCCGGTACGACTCCAAGCGCAGCGCATGGTCCGTGATGCTCTTCATCTTGTGCAGGAACCAGCGGTCGATTTTGGTCAGTTCGTAGAGGCGCTCGATGGAGTAGCCGGCACGCAGCGCAGCGGCAAGCACGAAGATGCGCTTGTCGGTCGGCGTCTCCAGCTCCTGAGTGACGGCGGAGGGGGAACAGAGGGGCCGCGGCTCAGAGTCGCTCGCGGAGCTGCCGGGAACCGGCTCGCCTGCCCACCCGCTGGGAAACCCACCACGTCGGACGCCGGCTTCACAGTGTGGTCAAAGCCCACGCAGTTCTCGTCAACCATGCGCAGCGCCTTCTGGAAGGCCTCCTCAAAGCTCCGCCCGATAGCCATCACCTCCCCTGCGGGAAGAGCAGGCGCCGCCTGTGTTAGAGCCGCTGGGCTGAGGCGCCGGCCAAGCCGGAGGGGCCGACCCCCCAAGCGGGGGGCCCACCCGCGGCAGGCGCTGCCAACCCACGTGGACGTGGCCGGCAGGGGCCTTGGCCCTGCCGGGCTGCGGCGTCCCCCCCGCGTGGGCAGCGGGACGCCTGCTGGGCCCCTCTGCTGCTACAGGCCTGCCCACCCACGGGGGAGCGGAGGCCACGGCCTCTCCTGCCCCCGGGGGAGAGGCGGCTCTGCGGGAAGGCGTCCCCTCAGCCGTGCCAGTGCCCAGAGGCCGGCTGGCGCCCAGACACGTGGCCCGCCAGAGCTGCGGCCCAGGGCCTTTCCCCTTCTCGCCGGACTCTGCAAGGCTCGGCCACGGTTCTGGAGCAGCTGCCACTGCCGCTGCAGCGGCCTTGGAGGTGGACACGCGTGGCACTCCAGCAGCACTCTGCTTGGGGAGCCAGCGCTCTCCTCTCGCGCGGGCTGCGCGTGCATTGCCCTCAGAATGGCCACCTGAGACGTCACCCCCCCCCCACTCCGCACGACAAGCGTGTTCCCCGCGGCCAGCCAGACAACTCCCTGGCCGGGCTCGCGCACGCTCCTGCAGGGAAGCCGCTCTGGCCGGACGCGCTCCCTCTGGCCCACACGGGTGCTCATGCAGGTGCCCTCCACGTGCCCGGGGCATCGCCCCCCAAGCCCAAGCGCCCTTCCCCAGCCAGTCCGTGCCAGCTCCGACGGCTGGCGTTCCTTGGCCCCGCAGGCATCCCTGCACCCTGCTCAGTCAGCCATGCCTGCCCTCTGCACGCCTGCGGCCACCCGCTCTGGGGGGCCCTCTCGAGCACCTCACGCCCCGTTTGACCCCCGCAAACAGCCCGGTGTCAACAGACTTGCTCACTCCCGATCCCGCGTCCTTCGTGCAGGAACGGGGAAGCCCCGGCCCATGCGCAGCACTGGGGGCCGCACAGTGGACTCCCCTCCACTGCCAGAATTTGCCGGGTGTTCCTACACCCAGCGCTCCCTCCTTCAACCAGTCATGGACCAGTAAGACCCCACCCCACCCCAGAGCCGCTGCGTTGCTGACGAGGTTGGAGCGGGACTTTGTCAAAAGCCCGGACGTCCAAATGAGCGGTCGCTCCCTGTCACGCTAAGCGGGGCCGTGAGCGCTCCCCGTGATGGGAGGCAGCGCGTGATTCGAGCGGCCCAGTGCCGCCACTCTGCTTTTCCTCCAAGGAGTGCGCAGCAGTGCTCCTCCACCGCCCGCCTCGGTTTCGTCCTCAGCTCAACCCTGCAAGGAGTGCGGGCGGGCGGGCGGGCGGGCGGCTGTCGCCCAGCAGACCCGGTGCACTCCTGGCTGCCCCTGCTCCCAGCTCCTGCTCTGGCCTGCTCCACCATATTTTGCAGGCAGGAGATGAAAAACGGACGTGCCTGCACCTCTCGGGACCAAGCCACACCTTTGAGCTCCAGGCAGACAGGCAAAGCCACAGGAGATCTCCTGGCAGATATTCTCGTTCGGAGGATGGGGCCACGGGAGGCCTGCAGGGAACAGCCGGGCCCCGGGGACAGGTGGGGGCGCTGCCCGGCGCCTTGGGGGCCTGCAAGCTGCTGCACCCCAACAGCCCCCCCCAAGCACTTACCCACACTCTTCATGGAGCTGCCGATCTTGGTGCTGACACGCAGGAACTTGCTGAGGTCCCAGCGCGGGATCTTGACCACGCAGTAGTCCAGGCTGGGCTCGAAGCAGGCCGTGGTGGAGTTGGTGACGGAGTTCCTGCCCGTGGGGCCAGAAGTGAGCGGGGGCAGGACGCCGCCTCCACCCACAGCCCAGGGATCTGCCCCCTCCACTGCAGCGGGGGGCGTCTCCGGCAGGGAGGGGCGCCCGTTGCCACAGAAATTAAGGGACCCTCCCCAGAACACAAACATGTTGGGCTGTGCCCCGTTGTCTCGCTTCCCCAGATACGCTTGGCCGGCTTTTGAAGCCCCCGTGCCCAGACCACCTCCCGGCTTCCGATAAAGCAGAATTCCGCAGAGCCAAAAGCGGTCCGGATCTGTGGCCAGCGGCGCTGGAGGCATGAAGGCCCCGAGGCCTGGCCAGCCAGGCCAGACTCAGAGAGCGCTTCAAGGGCAGGGAGCTCTGGAGAGCTCAGGAAGCCGGCACAGAACCTGCAGGGCCGTCCGGCACCTGAGGAGCAGGAGAACGGGACATGCAGGCACCGGGGTGGGTGCAACCGGCCGCCAAGCTCGAATCGCTCCCTGCTCCCGCCAAGGCCTCTGCCAGCGTGCCGAGGGGCAAAGCCCCAAACAGCTGCGGTGGCGCAGGGCCACCCCTCGCGCAAGATGCCCCCTCAAACGGGCACATTCTGCCACAAAGGACAAATGGCAGGTGTTTCTCCGGCTTCCGTGCTTGCCGCCGGGTCAAGGGGAGAGCCTGCTGCCGTGCCCAGCCGGGCCCTGGCCCTGTGCTGCTCCCCCCAGTGGGGCAGGAAGTACCTGAGGACGGGCAGCGGGATGCCCAGGGCCAGCTTGGCGGCGACGTAGGCCAGGGGGTAGCCGGTGGCCTTGCTTGCCAGGGCCGAGCTCCGTGAAAGCCGCGCATTCACCTCTATGATGTAATACTGGCAGAGGAAGAGAGAGAGCGAGCTGAGTGGGGCCCCCACAATCGGCCGCTGTGGGGCCCACCCCCTCCGACCCCTGGGGAGCGACTGGAGCTGCCCGGGCTCGAAAGGAACTCAGGCCAGCCTCCGCCAGGACGGCGCCAGCAGACCACGCGCTTCCACAGAAGCAGCGAGTGCATCCCCGCTGCCGGCGCATGCCTCAGATCCGTGCCCGCAGGGCCTCACCTGCTCCGACTCGGGGTTCAGCGCGTACTGAATGTTGCACTCGCCCACGATGCCCAGGTGGCGGACCACCTTGATGGCCGTGGTGCGCAGAAGGTTGTATTCCCGGTCGTTGAGGGTCTGGCTGGGAGCCACCACGATGGACTCCCCGGTGTGGATGCCCAGCGGGTCCAGGTTCTCCATGTTGCACACCTGGTCAGGTTCGATTGGGAAGGGGCGGGAAGGAGGACGTCACCGCTGCAGCGCGAACCCCCGGGGTCCACTGGCTGCTGGAGCCCGGAGCCGTCTCCCCGACACCCCACCCCGCCCGGCGCTCCCACCGGCTTCTTCGGGGGGCTGTGCAGAACAGAGGGGTGCGCAGGGGAAGCCTGCAGCCTCCCCGCAAAGCAGCCCCTCCTGGGCACAGTGGAAAGCCCCCTCCGCACCCCAAGCCTCCTGCAGGAGCGCAGGCCCGGTCCCGCACGGGCGCCCTCCGGCAGCACAGCAGCCCGGTGAAGGGCAGGCGGGCGTCTGCCTGGTTCGGCCGGACCGGCCTGCCGCCACCTCACCGTGACACAGTTGTCGTAGGCGTCGCGCACCACCTCGTACTCGATCTCCTTCCAGCCCTTGAGTGACTTGTCCACCAGCACCTGCGAGGTGTGGGCGAGGGCCTGGCTCACCAGCGCCGCCAGCTCTTCCCGCCCGCTGGCGAAGCCCGAGCCCAGCCCGCCCAGCGCGTAGGCCGAGCGCACGAGCACCGGGTAGCCGCGCCGATCTGCCGCCGCCTCGGCCTGCGCACAGGAGGAGGGAGGGTCAGGGCGACCGCGCCGCGGCAGGCCCACCAGGCCCACACTGCCGCCGGGAGGCCAACGGCCCCTCCTGGCCGCCCAGCAGGGAAGGACGCCTCTCGGGCCGCCGACCGTCCTGGGCCCCCTGCCCTCCGCGCCCAGGTGGGCTTGCGCTGAGCCCGGGGCAAGGGAAGGGCACTCGGGCGGTGCTCGGAACCGCTCCGGCCCAAGCGCTGGCTAAAGCACGGTCGGGCCGCATGGCGGCGGCGGCAGCCTCGAGAGATGCTCTCGCGTGGGGCAGGGGGAGGCTCCCCGCAGCTGCTGGGCAGAGCCAAGCGTCCCGCAGTGGAGACGGCAGAGTGCGGCCCACACGACGCGCCACGGCGGGCCCCGCACCTGTTCCAGGGAGCAGGCGGCTTCGCTGGGCGCCACGTGCTCGCCGATCTCTTCCATCTTCTCCACGAAGACCTTGCGGTCCTCCGTCATCTCGATGGAGGCGACCGGCGTGCCCAGGACGCGGACGTGGTAGCGCTCCAGCACGCCGGCCTTGGTCAGCTCCACCCCGCAGTTCAGGGCCGTCTGCCCGCCAAAGGTCAGCAGGATCCCGTCTGGCCGCTCGTTCTTTATCACCTGGCTCAAGAAAGGGGGGGGGCTTCAGGAGGCACTCCACCCGGCCCCTGCCGCCCCCCGGCCCCCAAAACATGGGCATTCTCCCCACACCGCCTTTAAGGCACCTGCACGAGCCCGATTTTCCCCGGGATGATGGGGCCTTTGGCCTCCTGGGTGTCCCAGGGAGGCTGAAGTGCCCGTTCCACAGGTCGCTGGGCCCGGCTGAGGAGCTGCTGCGGTGGATCACTTCGCCGGTCGGAGCTGAAGGGGCTGGAAGGCCCTCGGGTCCAACCCCTGCTGCTGGGGGTCACCGATTTACACCTCCCACTCCGAGGGCTGCCCGGTTTGCCTTGGATGCCTCCAGTGTGGGACAGCCCCCCACCTCTCCGGGCAGCCGGTGCCGCTGCTGTACTGCTCTGACAACCAGGCAGCTTTTCCTGATGTGCACCCTGAGTCTGAACTGAGTCGCAGCTTGAACTGGTTATTCTGTGCCCTCCACTCTGGCGTTAGCAAGAAGAGACCTGCGGGGGGCCTCCAGGTCCCCCCGGCCCCACAAGCCTCCTCCTGCCTGGGAGAGGCCATCCGGGGTGGGGCTGACGCATCCGCGGCCTGGTGCCGGAGCCCTTCCTCCCAGCTGCGCCCACGTGAGCAGGGGTCTGGAGGCACTGAAGGAGCTCCAGGCAGGGGGAAGCACGAAGGGCTTTCGTCCAGTCACGGAGGAGGCACCGTGGGTGGGAGGCGCTCCAGCCCTGGGCGGAGGCAGAAGACCAGCAGGGTCTTCTGCACCAAGGAGCAGCCAGGGGCATGCGTGGCATGGCGGTTCTCCCCGACCCCATGGCGCGATCGAGGGAAGCACCTGTGGTGCCGGCTACGGGCGCCTTTGATCCGCTTCGGCTGGCTCGCCAGCCACCTGGCTAGCTGAGCCCGGCTTCACTGCCCCCATCCCCGTCCCCGTCCTGGCTGCCTCCAGAGCAAGTTCCAAAATGTGTGGGAGCGACACAGACGTGCTCAGCCAGGCATTGCGCCTGGAAAGGCCAAAGAGTGCGCGCACTGATTCTGAACCGGCCACCCTGCGCATGGCCCGTGGGTGAGGTCTGTTAAACGGGCGGGTGGCCTTTTCTGCGGTGGAATCCCATCCTCCGGGAATCCGTACTGTTCAAATCAGCGTTCCAGCATTACCGGCATTCTAAATGTTTCATACTGTTTTAATTGGCGGTGTTTTGTATTTCACCCTTTTAAAACCTTATCTTTCCAACCATGCGGAAGCTTTGCCTTGCAAAGGGTTTCCAAGACACTGAAAACGAAGCACCGGCGGGACAAGTGAGAGCACAGAGGGCTGTCTTCTGCCGCATCACCAAGTGCCTCCGAGGCAAGTGCCAGAGGCCTTCCCTGCCCAGCGGCAGCAGAGCTGGCGCAGCCCTCGAGGGCCAGGCTGGCAGCTCATGGCTCCCGCGCCATCAAAGAGGGCACCAAGAAGAGCTGGGGAGGGGGCTGGGGTCCGGCACTGCCACGTTCTGCCCCTCCGGCCCGAGTCCGGCCCACCTGGAAAGACAGCAGCAGCCTGGCAGGGCTGGCACGGCCCGTGGGACGGGGAAAGGGCAAAAGGGTCCCCCTCACCTGGGCGACGTAGTCCGGGGTGATGGGCAGGAAGTAGACCTTGTCGGCCAGGCCCTTGGAGGTCTGCACGGTGGCGATGTTGGGGTTGATCAGCACCGTCTGAATGTTCTCCTCTTTCAGGGCTTTGATGGCCTGGCAACGGGGGTGGGGAGACCACACCAGTGCGTGAACAGTGGTCACGTGGCAGCCCTGGACACGCACGGCGCTGCCCACATCACACCCCTGAACCCTGAAGCCATGACACTGGAGCTTGGACCACAGCCGGGAAGCGGAGGAGCTGCCTCTGGGAAGGTGCCAGAGGCGTCACGCGGGCCCAGGCGACCCTGCACACCCCAGACGTCCCTGGCGCACTTGGGCGGGCAGCCCTTCACCCCGTGAAAGCAGCCCTGCTCCATGCCCCCCCCCCCTTTAGAGGGGGTGGGGATCACCCGGCTGGGTCCCAGCAGCATCTCCAGGAATCACTGGAAAAGCTCCCGGCCGAAAGGTCAGCACCAGTCTTGGCCGGCGTTCCCGTCCAGGTGGCCCTGGGGGCGCCCGAGGCTGCACCGAGGCCTCCACCCCGGGCCCAGCCCTGCCCCGCCCTCTCGCTCACCTGGGAACCAGAGTAGTCAAACTCGCCCGCCTGCCCTATGGAGAGCCCCCCCGAGCCCAGGATGAGGACCTTGTGCGGCCGGGGGATGCTGCCGGCAGGTGGGACGTCCGCGGGGCACAGGCAGCGCGACAGCCGCTTGCGTACTGGAGAGAAAGAGCCGGCTCTGTCACCACTGCTGTTCCGAACCTGCCCCGGCCCCCGGGGGCAGCCCAGAGGCCCGGCCTCCCACGGCCCACAGAACAGCCCTGCCGCCGCGGCCCCCACCTGGCTCGCAGCTCTGTCCTTGGGCAGTCGCGTCCCGGGCCATATCCAGGAAGACGTCAAAGAGGCACGTGAGGTCCATCGGCCCAGCCCTGTGCTCCGGGTGGAACTGCACACTGAGGGGCCGAGAGCACGGGCTCAGTGTCACGGAGGTAAGCGGGCCCCCACACACAGCCGCCCGCCCCCGCCCCACCCTCAGCAGGCCGTCTCGCCCGGCCAGCAACGCGACGGGGAAGTCCCAGGTGCCGGGAGCGCTGTGCGGGGGCAGGGGGCCAAGGGGCCGGCCACTGTGCCCCCTTGCGCCTCTCCCGCCGCGTGAGCAGAGCCTCCGGGGAGACGAGCCTCTTCGTGCGCGACCCTCAGAGCCCTCGCCGTGCCCACCTGAAGAAGGGCTTGGAGTCGTGCACGAGGCCCTCGTTGGAGCCGTCGTTGGCGTTGGTGAAGAGCGGGGCCCACGCCGGCGGCAGGCTGGCCGGGTCCACCGCAAAGCCGTGGTTTTGGGAAGTGATGAAGCAGCGCTGGGAGCCCTCGTACAGGCACGGCTGGTTGTGCCCACGATTGCCGTACCTGCGGAGGAGCGAAGGGAAAGGGGAAGGGGGAGCGGAGCAGCTGCCCCGGGGGGGGGGACAAGATCTGCACCACTCCCCACCGCAAAAGCCCGCCTGCACGAGCGTGCCCACTCACTTCATCTTGTAGGTCTTGGCTCCGACAGCCAAGGCCAAGAGCTGGTGGCCCAGGCAGATGCCGAAGACCGGCTTGGGGGTCGGCAGCTCCAGGATGCGGCGCAGGTTGGCGATGGTTGCTTGGCAGGACCGCGGGTCCCCGGGCCCATTGCTGATGAAGAGGCCGTCAAAGTCTGGCGGAGAAAGAAGGCTCCGGGTGGGCAGGGCGCGCCACCCCCGGACGAGCCTGCCCGAGGAGCACGGTGGTGCCGGGGCCGGGGAAGGGCCCAGGAAGCCCCCCCGCCCCGCCAGCCCCACTTGCCTGCACTGTCCAGCGGGTGATCCCATGGCACCACCGTCACAGCGGCCCCACGCTCACACAGGCACCGGATCTGGTTGTACTTCAGACCGCAGTCCACAGCCGTGATCCTCACCGAGCCTCCGGGGTTGAACAGGCGGGGCTCCTGCCAAGCCATTGGGGAGGAGAGCGGGTCTTGGGGCACGTGGCCGGGAGCCCCAAGGCTGCTCTGCGCGGCCTCTTGCTTGCAAGGCGTGGGGAGGAGCTCAGAGGCCGGGCCAAGGACCCACCCCCCACAAACACGCCTGGATGGCGGACTGGAGCTGAGCCCCACGTGGGCGGGGGGAGGCCTCCAGAGCAGCCCTGGGCCCCGATGCTCAGGGGCTGGCCCTGGCGGGGAGGCAGGTGGGCTCCTCAGGGGCCGCTGAGGCAGACCGCCCAGGGGTCCTCCCAGCGGCTTCGGCGGGAGCCCAGCTCGCCGCGTGTTCCGGAGCAGGATGCCTGGACGGAGCCGCAGGGCTGCCACTCGCACACTCGCCTCGCAAACGTGCCCCCGACCCCTTCGGGGGCTGTGCAAACCGCGCCCCCAGCTCCGCACCCGCGTGCAGCACCCCCACTCTGTGCACCCTCCACCCTGGTCGTGCAGTCCATGCTGCCCCATAGCGCCTTGGCACCACCTACTTGCAGGGAGACCTCCTTCACCAGGTGCCTCTCGTTCGGATCCTCAAAAGGCCATGGCGAGTCCGGGGCTCCATCAGGCACCAGCCTGCCCAGCAGAGTCCCCTTCTCCCGGATCCTCTTGGTCAAGGCCCGGGTGTCCACTCCTATGGGGAAAGACGCAGTGAGTGCCGGGACGGGCCGACCCCCGCCCTGCTCCATGGAGGAACACACGCGCTCTGCCCCCCCACCCCACGCCTTCCTCTCCCTTCGTAAGCAGCCCTGCCAGGTGCGTGCGAAACCCTTCAGATTGGCCACCTGGCGCCACCCTGCCCCATCCCAGCCTCCCCAGGGGCCTCCCTTCCTCACTGGCAGGACGTTCCCAGCAGCCAGCTTCCTCAGCCGCTGGTCTGGCCACGCTCTGGTGACGGAGCTCGCAGCAATGAAGGCAGCAGAGACTCGTGGCACCCCGAAAACTGACATGTCCATCCAGCAGAAACTTTCAGGACTTCTTGTGCTCACCTTGCTCCGCAGAGACACCCTCAAGTCACCGACCACATGGCCCGGAAGGCTACCAGGCTCTCCGCCCCGTGCCTGAACCTCGCTATTTCCGGCACCCGTCCGGTCGCTTCGAGACCGGCCTGCTGCCTGTCCGTGTCAAGCGCAGAGCCCTCCGCCAGCAGGCAGCGATCGCGGCATTTCCTGCTCGCCACCCGCCCGGGATATTTGGTGCTCGTTCATGTTAAAGCGCAACTCGGCCTTCCCAGCAATCTGCAGCGCACGTCAGCAGCACCCCACCGTGCGGAGAGCCACCTGCTTGCTTCAGGGCACCCGGGAAGGTTCCCCCAGGCTGCCTAAGCCTGGAACCCACTGAGCTGCCAAAGGCTCCTTAGCTTGGGCACAAAGAGGGCAGCGGCTGGCGGGGAGAGCCGGTCCCCTCCGAGGCCACTCTGTGCATGCTGCAGCTCCCACACAGGAGCCGTTCAGGTTTGCAGGGCGGCTTCTCCCCTGCATCACCTCCAGTCCTCCCAAAGCCCACGCCGGGGCCCACGGTTTCTCCGCTTGGTCACAGGAGCGGCAGAGGGGGGCCAAGAGCAAGCAGTTCTCCCGGGGCCCACGGCCTGGCAACGGCTGGCTAAGCCCCCCGGTGCAAGCCCCCCCACCCCGGTTGGGCCGCCCGCGTACCTTCCAAGCCAGGGATCCCCTCTTCCTTGAGCCACTGGTCAAGCGAGCGAGTGGCGCTCCAGTGGCTGGGATGTCGGGAACACTCTCCAACGATCAGCGCAGCCACGCGGATGCAGCTGGACTCAAACCACTGAGCGGGATCAGAGGAAGCGCGAGCAGCCCATTAAAACGGCTTCCTATCGCTGCAGAGTCCACCCGCCTCTTCTGCAGGGGAGTCAGCAGGCCCAGGCCCCTGTCAGACCTGGGGGAGCACCCCCCACTGAAGGGGATTCCCACCAGGTATTTGCAGGAGCTGTCCCACACCCGATGCAGTGTCCTCCCCACCTGCAATCCTTCAGCTGCGCCACAAGCGCAAACACAAGGAAGCTGGCCCTGACTTGGTTCACAGCCACCCTCGCTTAGGCCACGAGGAGCAACAGCGTGCCACGGTGCATGCTGGGCAGGCTCGGAGGACTCAGGCCACAACGTCGCGTGTCATCGGAACCCAGGGCCTGTTCCCATGGATCATTTAACTTCCACCTAGCCCATGATCCGCAAGCTGAGAAGACTGACCTCGCAGCCTGGCTATGCAAAGTGGCCACCCACCCTCTCTGACCTGAATAAGCCACCGGGGCTGTTTGATCAGCGAGCAGCCCCCAAAATCACCAAGAGGCCAAGAGAGGACGTCTCGGCACGCCGGCGGGTGCCGTGCGGCAGTGCAGCGGGCCAGGTGCGGGGGAGCCTGCCCGGGTGGCCTTGCCCAGCAAGCAAAGCCCAGACTGCCACGCACCCTTCACCGGGGAAGGGTGTCCTCAGGCCGCCAGCCTGTGCAGGGCAGGCCCTCAGAAGGCCCGACGCACAGGTCCTGCTTCACTCACCCGGCTGAGGCCATACTGATCCAGCTCCTCCGGAGGGACGCCGTAATTCCCAACAAGCGGGTATGTCAGCACCAAGATCTGAGACGTGTAGGAGGGATCCGTCAGCGCTTCGGGATACCCCACCATGCCCGTCTGGAACACTGCAGCCCAGGGAAAGCCAGAGGTCAGGCCTGGCCCACCCACCGGCAGCAGGGCTGGGCAGCCCACAGCGGGGGCCCCCAGTGCCACGGGCCACTGACACACTGCCCCTCCCACCGGGAGCTTAACCGCAGTCAGCAAAAGAGACTGGCGCGGCCCACAGGGAGAGTCCCTCGGGGAAGGCAGCCTTGGCTCCCCTGCCCCAGCCCACCTGGGTGACACACCTGCCCGTCCCTGCCAAGCCAGCTCTGAAGGACTCCGAGCAAAGGAGCAGAAGGAACAGAGGCTGTGCCGCGCCCCCACCTCGGCCCGAGGCGACCGTCTTCCCAGGGATGCTGCATCCCAGCCCTTCGCAGGTGACAGTTAACTGGAGCAGCCTGCCAGGGCCATGAGCCCCAACCAGGGAAGGGCAAACCCAAGCCGACAAGGGGCTGGCCGGCTGCACGTGAGGCACCCATCCTGGCTGCACGCTCTCCCTCCCTATCAAGGCCATTTCTGCTATGTGGAGTCTCTCTATTTAAACAGCACAGCAGGCGAGCAGCCGGGCCTCCCGCCACCGCACGCTGCACCCAGAGGCAGCAGGAGAGAGGCACTGGCTGGGTGGTCGGGCAGGTGTGGCCTCCACGCGCCCCTTCCCCTGCCCGGGCCTCCTTTTCCCCTGGAAGGTGGCATTCCTTAGGGGCTTGGCTCCAGAGAGGCCCCTATTTTTCCCAGGCACTCCTCTCCATCTGGAGACGCCTCCTCAGCCTACCAGCTGCTGCCTTCCCAGGCAACCCATGAGGCACCCTCTTCCAAGGAGGGTGGAGGAGCGTGGGCACGGCGGGTCTCCAAGGGGCTGCAGGAGCAGCCTCGGGGGACCCTCCCCACACTCTTCCCTGGCTGTGCCAGGCCAGGGGTCCCAACCAGGATCCCGCCAGCCCTTCCGAGCTGCGGCTCCCACAACCGAGCCCCACGGCAGCCCGGGTCCCAAAGGCTGCCCTGTCTGGGCTCCCAAGTGCCCGGGCGTGCCAGGGGCTTCCCGGAGGGGCCGGGGCTCCCGCCGCCCCTCCGGGAAAGGCCCAGGCAGGCAGGCCGCTGCACCGGCCGGCAGAGGCGGGCTCCGGGAGAGCAGCGGAGGCGGCGCGGCTGTCAAGAGGGCGCCGAGCAGTGCCTGTCAGCAGCGCCCGGCGGGACGGGGGGCAGCGGGGCTTCTGTGCCCTCGGGCCGCCGAGGGAGGCGGGGCCGAGGCCTGCGGCAGGCGCGCCGCCCGGCCCCGGGAGCGCGGAGACGGGCGCGCCCCACATGGGCCCGCGGAGGGGGCGCGCCACCCGCGCTGAGCCCGCAGAGGGGCCGAGGCCGAGAGGGCGGCCTCGCCGCGGCCTGGCACTCACCCACTTCCCCGGCAGCGGCGGCCCCGGTGGCTCCGAAGGGCCGCCCGCGCAGCACCGTCCCGTCCTCCAGCACCAGGCTGGCCATGGCGCGCCTCTCTCTGCACGTGGGAAGGGCGAGCG